GCTGGAAGACTGAAGTTTTGAGTGGATGTCCCCTGTCTACGTACAACTTTAAAATTTCAAATTCAGTTCCCAGGTGCGTGTGGCTTTCACATACGGGCATGTGAAACTTTTAGTAGGTAAATTTCTAACGCAGGGATCAGGCATACTAGGAAACTGCAATTTTGGGAAGACGTCCTTTGTCAGGTGCGATGTAAAAATTTCAAATTCAATTCACATGTACGCGTTGTTCTCACATATGGACGTATGAAATTTTTGACAGGAAGATTGCTCACTGAACAGCTAGGTCATTTTTTCAGTGAACGGCCGGTCAACGGGAATTTGTCGTTTTCTTTTTATGCGAGATTTTGAAAATAAGAGTAAAATAATTGTTCTCTCGATTTTTAATGTGAACAGTGGAGACGTTTTTTTATTGAACTTTGAAGTTTTTTGAGGGACAGTTACTGATTTTGTTTTTTTCTTAAGGCACATGAAAATTGATGAGCCGAAAACCCCGTATCACGGGTACAGTGACAGTGAAGATGACGCAGAATGCCATTCGACAAAGACGCATCGCAGGGTTTCACTAGTAGGAACGGTTGACCCAGTGAAGCTAGCTGAAGGTATCAAAGCAGGCACATCGAGGCCACCAGCGTGTCTTACAAAAGTTGCGTCGAGTGATGATGAGGAAACGGAGCTCACGCCTGAACAAATTGGTAAGTTTTAGCCGCTTTTCTGGAACAGTTGCTGGAGCTCCTGAGTATCACTCACATTGTCGCTTTCATTTTCTTTCTTTTCACCATGCTTGGAATTGTAGGGGGTTTTTTTTTGTTTTTTACCGCACTGGAATAAACCGCATATTTCGCAGCATGTGACACTGAAATTATCATAGCGTCTCTGACTTCCTTCACAAAAATACAAAGTGGGTAAGAAGAATGGGGAGGGGTTGTTGTTTCCCGAATGTTGTTATCCTTCTTGGTAATCACAATTTTAGCTCTGCATTTGCAGTTCAGTGGTTATTCTGAATGTGGGAGATAGGTCCAGGGAGCCAACCGAATCACCTATCCTGTCAAACACTCTCTGACAACTTGTTCAGTGCTTTAAACGGTTATTGTTTCACAGTTTTTTGTTCGCAGTTAGGGCAGCTACCACTTCGTCATCTTATTCTTTTTCAAAGTTGTTAGATTCACATATCTCCGAATAGGCATTCAAGGGAATTTATCTTGTTATCAGCTCCCCAGTAATCGTTTAGAGTTGTATGGTTGCCCTTTGCGCTTTCGCATTTACACCGCATGTCAAGCTTAACTTCTTATGCGTTTTGTGCTGTGTAACAGCGTTACAAAACGCATATTGTCACGGGGTTGTTTGTGTGTGT